ATGATCATCCCCAAGGTCTCCCTTATGGTGTCCATCAAAGGAAGACCATGTAAGTACTGCTCACTGAGAACCCAAGGCCCTGAGCCCCGCAGCCCACATCGCCCTGGCCTCACTTGGGAAGACCCCGAAGCAGGTGCTGGAGGACGGCCAGCAAGAACTTCCTTTTTCACAAATGGAGGCAGGGCAGAATTATGCTGAATACGCTAATGGAAAGGTATTTGGCCAACAGGCATAATTGCTCCCTTACTAAGCAGTTTTTCCTTTCTTCTTTTGTCTGTCCTTTTCAGCACACAAGGCTCCATTGTCTTTGTAGCGGCCCTTCCGCGCCTTGAGATTTATTTTCTCCTTTCTGAGTAGAACGTTTCAAAACAAGTGCTTTGATCTTCTGCTCAAGGGATCACACGTCTGGAACAGCAGGCAGACCTTGTAGGTGGTCAGACCACTTAGAAGCCAACACTTTCAGAAGGGCATTGACTTTGGAATGGGCTGAAAAGTAACATTTGGAAACGGCTCTCCTGTCTAAGCTCTGACCATGTTTATTACTGAAAAAGAATGCACACACAGGAACATATATATTTATGTGTTGACTTCTCACTAGAGCTGCTGTAATGCTTTCTCTTCCTTATGTTGATTGTCCAGAAAAACTGCTGGCCTTGGATTCACCCAGCATCCCACTTGCATTCCTGCCGTGAAAAGAAACAGAAATCCTGATGGTGGAAAAAAAAAAATCTAATCAGCCAGGCACAGTAGCTCATGCCTGTAATCCCAGCACTTGGGGAGGCTGAGGTGGGTGGATCATCTGAGGTCAGGAGTTTGAGACCAGTTCGGCCAACATGATGAAACCCTGACTCTACTAAAAATACACACACACAAAAAAAAATTAGTCCCAGCTAGTTGGGAGGCTGAGGCAGGAGAATCACTTGAACTTGGGTGGTGGAGGTTGCAGTGAGCTGAGATTGCACCACTGCACTCCAGCCTGGGCGGCAGAGCGAGACTGAGTCTAAAAAAAAAATTAAAAATAAATAAAGAAGTACTCTGATGAAGACAAGTGTGTGAGTGTATGTGCAGGTGTGTGTGTTGAGGGGGTAGTAGTTTATTTTGTAGTAAATTTTGTAGTAAATTAGTGTTATTTTGGGCAGAATGCGGAGAGAAAGTACTATTCAGATGGCTGACTCCAAGCTCAGGAAACTACAGTCCACTTTTTAAATCACTGTCAGAAGCTATCAAATATATATTGAAATAAGTGTCAGAAAATCCAGGTTCAAATCACCTCTCAGCTGAATTCACATATGCAGTCAATAGTGTATCCAAACTTTCTCATCTCTAAAACAGGTCAGACCACATCAATGCCACGAGCCCACGGATCCAGATGAAAAGAACAACTGGTAGAACCACAACAATAAATGCAGGCAATTTGTGTGTCATAGTCTCAGTTTAACCTGCATCTGGAGGTTTGCTTTAAAACCATTTTTATTTTGAAATAATGCTGTAGTTACAGGAAATCACATACGCACACATGTACAGAGCGGTGCCGTGTACCCATCACCCAGTTTCCCTCAATAGAGACTGCGTAACTGAAGGACAATAGCAAAACCAGGAAACGTCACTGGTACCATTCACAGAGCTTATTCAGATGGACTGTGAGTTCTAACTAGCACTTAGGCAGAGGCATTCAGTAAAAATATTTAAAATCAATGGACTCATTAAAAACTATATATTCTTCTGTGATATTTAGAAATGAAAAAAATAAAAAACCCTATATATATAATCATGCACGTGTTATTTAATCTGTCTGAACAGTTATCTACTCATCTTTAAAAGAGAATAGGATAGAGGCCAGGCATGGTGGCTCATGCCTGTAATCCCGGGACTTTGGGAGGCCGAGGTGGGTGGATCACTTGAGGTCAGGGGTTCGAGATCAGCCTGGCCAATCTGGTGAAACTCCATCTCTAATAAAAATACAAAAATCAGCTGCATGTGGTAGTGTGTGCCTGTAGTCCTAGCTACTTGGGAGGCAAAGGTGAGAGAATCGCTTGAATCCACGAGGCGGAGGTTGCAGTGAGCCAAGAACGTGCCACTGCACTCCAGCCTGTGTGACAGAGCAAGATCCCATCTCAAGAAAAAAGAGTGGCTTGTATGGAATCATACACATATGTATAGCATGTGATCGTCTGGAATTGGCTTTTTCTCCCCGCTCAGCATCATTCCCCGAAGTCTATCCGGGTTGTTTTGTGTATCAGTGGTTCACTCCATTTCGCGGCTCCATAGGACTCCATGGTATGGATGTACCAGTTTGTTTAATCATTCATCCCTTGAAGGGCTTTTGGGTTGTTTCTGGTTTTTGGCTATTACAAATAAAGCCGCTGTGGACGTTGGCAAACAGCGTTGATATAAATGTAGGTTTTCCTTTCTCTGGGATAGACGCCTAACGGTAGCTGTGCATTCAGTCTTATGAGAAATTGCCAAATTGTGTTCCAGACTGGCTATACTATTTTACATTCCTATCAGCAATGCCTGAATGATTCAGTTTCTCTGCGTCCTTCCAGCAGCTGGTGTCACAGTTTTAGCCATTTTTATAGCCATTATTTTTTTCATTTTAGCCATTCTGCTGGGTGTGTACTGACATTTCCCTGTGGTTTTAACTTGCAGCTCCCTAACGGCTGACAGTGCTGCCTATCTTTTCATATATTGATTTGCCATCTGCATAAGCTCTTCGGTAAAATGCTTGCTGATGTCTTTTGCCCAGATTCTTGTTGGACTCTTTGTCTTTTACTCTTGAGTTTTGAGAATTCTTTATTCTAGGTTCAAGGCTTTTGGCAGACATGAGGGTGAAAGCATTTTCCTGCCATGTGTATGCCGTCTTTCATCCTCTCAACAGTCTTTGGCATGACAAAAGCTTTTAATTCTAATGAAGTCTGATTTATTGGTTTATTTTCTTGAACTGATCATGATTTTTTGATGTCTGTGTACTCTTTGCTTAGCCCTAGCTCATAAATATTTTCTCTCATTTTTTTTCCTAAAAGTTCTATAGTTTCACATGGAGTTGTACATTTAAGTCCATAATCCATTTGGGGGTAATTGTTACATAAACTGCAAGGCGTAGGTTGAGGATTTTTTAGAATTTCTCACTGACCCCCGGACATATAGACACATTTTAGCCCAAGTTCCCTCTCTCTGCCTCTACATGTATGTTGTTAGACCTTATTTCACATGTACCTTAAATTTCACTGCTTTCATTCTAACACCAGGCTTCTTCAAGCGTCTTGTCCTATACTGATCATATTCCTTCCCTAATATCTTACTGATTGAAAGAATGTACAATTGTTATGTAGGTATCTTATATTATTGACATGAGTCATGCTGATAATATGCTATATGCTTGTCTTTCTCAAAATAAAGTAAGTCTCCAGAAAGGAGGGAGCATATCTTGCTGTTTCTCTTTATTTCCTACAGCTCCTAGCCCAATGTTTCGCAGTTAGTAAGGATTCAATGATATCTGCGGACTCAAAATGAGTTGAGTGTTTCCATCCTTTACATTTGCTAGAAGGGCACGTTTCCTCTTTCTGTATTCAGATGCAATATAAAAAGATTTTTTTCAAAAGGCAAAACTGAGTGAAAGAGCCAGTAGCATCCCAAGTGGATTTCTCCCTTGCTGCTGCTGTGCAGGCTGGAGCCTATTAGCAGGTCAGTGAGGTTAGGATGGAACTTAGGCTGCTCAGCACCGGCGTGTATGGTCGATTCTGGGAAGGTGCAATACTGATTCTTAAATGTTTTTGCATTTTGTCTTTGATTCCACTTACAGCATACCTTCTCAACACACTTAGAACTCTGAAATTATATGTGTGTGCGTGCCTGTATATACATACATACATACACAACAGCGCACATACGCGTCACACAGTGGGTGTATTTGTTGTTGTTGCTGTCTGTTTCCTCAAAGTAGCCTCCACGTTCTGTATTTCAGAAACATCTTTTGCATGTGTTGCCGACATTAAGATGTCCATTAATTCGGGACTCTTGGTCACTACATCCCATTTCATTGCAGTTTCCCAAACTCCTAGTGCTCAGATGATAATTTGTGTTAACCCTTTTTATTTTTATTTTTTTCCCCTCCGCTAATGCCAAATGGTTAAAATAACATGAGAAGAAAGGGCAGATCTAGAGAATTACATAAAGAATTTGCAAATAAATGATGATTATTATCAGAATATGAACCACGGCAAGAACAGGTGAATTTTCTGGTGTTAAAGTATTGGAACAGTTTTGTAGTTTTGCAGCATTTAGTTCTGAGTGTGCGCATTGCTCATTAGACATTAACACATGTCCGTATTCTACACCAAGGAACCTTTCAGGAGATAGTTCTATTAATAGCTAAGAGGATTTACAGGCTCACACTGTATTTTCTTCAAAGACACGTGTAACATCCAGCAGGAAAACTGTCACTCTTTGCATAAATAATGTGATTACCTACTGATACAAACTCATGACGTGCTTAGGAAATGCACGTCAGGAAACTTTGATTTTGGAAAAATCAAAGTTTGGAAACCCCTTAGCTCTTTAATGTTCTTATGTTCCTTTATTAGTTTATCATTTTTTTCCTAGGAATTATTTTAGAAAGCAGTCCGTAATTTTTCTTTCAGTATTATTATATGGGATATAATATTTATATCGGCGAAAGATACCCAAGGGCTAATACCAGTAGCCACAAAATCTGTCTAGATTTGCTGAGTGTTATAGCCTGAAACATGCAAACAAACAAAAAAGCAATAAACTATCATTTGTTTTGGTAAAGGGACTCTGTATAGACAGGAGAAAATTAGATAGATCAGGTAATTACCTTCTAGGTTCTAGATTTCCCTAGGGGTTGGTTTGAAAACATTTTCGATCAAACGTTAAGATAAGTGAGCAACGGCACTAAAGCTTGCCTATAGTTTATATTCGTTCTGAGTAAACACCTTCCCTTGACAGGAAAGGATCATGGATTGTGGAGATCATCTTACCTTGAAGTCAGGCGCAGCCCTGGGGTCTCCATTTTCTGTGGTTTGGTGAATGTCTGCGTTATATCTCTGAGCCCTAAACAGGGGCAGAAACTGCGTCCATATAGACGGCCTGGAGAAATGTTTCTGGAGGCACTCTTGGCTATCTTGGGAAAGCTGGGGCATGTTTTTACAATAAAGGCCCCAAATGAGTCCTGTGGCCTGGTTATGCCGATATTAGCACAGGATCCACTCTGTCTCTCTTCGTTCGGCTAATGCTGGGCTGGCTCTGAGTCTGTGGGGAGGCTCCTTGGAAAGTTACACTAATGAAAGCAACAGGATTATCTGCTGTGTGGATCAGTAGCTTATCCACAGATCTTTCATCTTCTATTCTTGGTAGAGCTGCTTACTTGAATGTCTAGGTGCCGTATGTTATGAGTGCCCTCTAAAGGTAGAAATGTATTCTTAATTCAGATGTAATCCTAAATCGAAACGGAAAGAAATGATCCAAGTGATATACAGCTTAGCATATAGTGATAAACAGATTTCCTGGCAAAATTCTGTATTAGTGGCATGTGACAGGCAATAGTACTTGACAATCTTGGGCTGTGCAATTGACAGACAGGTGGTTGGCCCAAACTTTCCAAGTTGCTTAAAAAGTTATTTTAATTGCAATCAACTCTTTAGCTAGAAACTGATGCAAAACTCATACCCAAACTTAAACTCAAGGGTTATTTTGCTTTTTATGTACATCATGTGGAATAAGTTACATTGATTTTCTTATGAGACAACTAGACAATAAGTAAGCCAAGAATTGACTTCTAACACTACTTCATATTTATAAACTGCTTTATAAATGTAAGATTATTAAGCAGAAAGGAAAAGATAGAATACCTTTCTGTCAAGAGGTAACTAATGCCCAGGTAGCTTCTGTTGGGTTTGAGGGTGCACAAAGATAAGAGATGTATATTGCTGGGGTCTATAAACTAAAGAGTTTCCTTTCGTAAAACCGCTTTATAGATTCAAGGCAATCTCTATCATATCTCGGCTCCTTTCTTCTGCAGAAGTTGACAGTAGATTCTAAACATTCGTATAAAATTTTAAGGGGCTGGGCACGGTGGCTCATGCCTGTAACCCCAGCACTTTGGGAGGCTGAGGGGGACAGATCGGGAAGTCAGGAGTTTGAGACCAGCCTAACCAACATGGTGAAATCCCATCTCTACTAACAATGCAAAAAAATTAGCTGGGTGTGGTGGCAGGCACCTGTAATCTCAGCTACTCAGGAGGCTGAGGCAGGAGAATCACTTGAACCTAGGAGACAGAGGTTGCAGTGATCTGAGATTGTGCCACTGCACTCCAGCCTGGGGGACAGGGTGAGACTACATCTCAAAAAAAAAAAAAAAAAAATTACAAGGGACCTAGAATATCCAAAACAGTCTTGAAAAAAAAAAGTTGAAGGATCACACCTCTCAATTTTAAAATGTAGCACAAAGCTACAGTAATGACCATTGACATTCTTCACAAAATTAGAAAAAACTATTTTAAAATTCATATGGAACCAAAGAAGAGCTCATACAGCCAAGATGATCCTAAGCAAAAAGAACAAAGCTGGAGGCATCACGCTATTGGACTTCAAACTATATTGCAAGGCTACAATAACCAAAACAGCATGGTACTGTCACTAAAACAGATTTATAGACTGATGGAACAGAATAGAGAACTCAGAAATAAGACCATCTACAACCATCTGATCATCAACAAACCTTAAAAAAAACCCAAAAAAACAAGCAATGGGTTCCCTATTTAATAAATGGTGCTGGGAGAGCTAGCCATATGCAGAAAATTGAAACCAGACCCCTTCCTTACACCTTATACACAAATTAACTCAAGATGGATTAAAGACTTAAATGTAAAACCCAAAACTATAAAAACCCTAGAAGGAAATCTAGGCAATACCATTTAGGACATAGGCATTTTTCATTTTATGAAAAAATTTCCAAAAACAATTGCAACAAAAGCCAAAATTGACAAATGGGATCTAATTAAACTAGAGAGCTTCTGCACAGCAAAAGAAACTATCATCAGAGTGAACAGGCAACCTACAGAGTGGGAGAAAATTTTTGCAACCTATCCATCTGACAAAGGTCTAATAACCAGAATTTACAAGGAACTTAAACAAATTTACAAGAAAAAAACAACCCAATTAAAAAGTGGACAAAGGACTATGAACAGACACTTCCCAAAAGAAGACATTCATGCAGCCAACACACATATGAAAAAAAGCTCATCATCACTGATCATTAGAGAAATGCAAATCAGGCTGGTGTGGTGGCTCAATGCCTGCAATCCCAGAACTTTGGGAGGCTGAGGTGGATGGATCACCTGAGGTCAGGAGCTCAAGACCAGCCTGGCTAATGTGGTGAAAATCTGTCTCTACTAAAAATACAAAAATTAGCTGGGTGTAGTCCCAGCTACTCAGGATACTGAGGCAGGAGAATCGTTTGAACCAGGGAGGCGGGGATTGCAGTGACCCGAGATTGCGGCACTGCACTCCAGGCTGGGTGACAGAGCAAGACGTTGTCTCAGAAAAAAAAAAAAAAAAGAGAGAGAAAGAGAGAGAGAGAGAGAGAGAGAGAGAGAGAGAGAGAGAGAGAGAAATGAAAATCCAAATCACAATGAGATACCATCACATACCAGTCAGAATGGCAATTACTAAAAAGTCAAGAAACAATAGATGCTGCTGAGGTTGTGGAGAAATAGGAATGCTTTTATACTGTTGGTGGGAATATAAATTAGTTGCACCATTGTGGAAGACAGTGTGGGCGATTCCTCAAAGATCTGGAACCAGAAATAACATTTGACCCAGCAATCTCATTACTGGGAATATACCCAAAGGTGTATAAATGACTCTGTTACAAGGGTACATGCTCACATATTCATTGCAGCACTGTTCACAATAGCAAAGATATGTAATCAACCCATATGCCCATCAGTGATAGACTGGATAAAGAAAATGTGGGACATATATACCATTGAATACTATGCAGCCATAAAAAGGATTGAGATCGTGTCTTTTGCAGGGACATGGATGGAGCTGGGAGCCATTATCCTTGGCAAACGAACGCAGGAACAGAAAACCAAACCCCACATGTTCTCACTTATAAGTGTTAGCTGAACAATGAGAACACGTGGACACAGGGAGGAGAACATCACACACTGGTACTTTCGGGGTGGGGTTGGGGGAGGGAGAGCATTAGGAAAAATAGCAAATGTATTCTGGGCTTAATACCTAGGTGATGGGTTGATAGGTGCAGCAAACCACCATGCACACATTTACCTATGTAACAAAGCTGCACATCCTGCACATGTAATCAAGAACTTAAAAATTAAAAAAATATTTTTAAAGGTACAGTAATTAAGACTGTGTGGTACTGCTATAAGGATAGGTATGTAGATGTGTTTATCAATGAGACAGAACTGAGAGTCCAGAATTAACCCATACACTTGTCAATTGATTTCTGACAAGACAATTCAATGGGGAAAGGATCGTTTTTTCAGCAAATGGTGTGAGGATAACTGCTTCTCCACATGCAGAAAAATTACATAGGACCTCTATTTCACACTCTTTAGAAAAACTAATTCAGGATGAATCATAGATCTAAATGTAAGAGCCAAAGCTATGAAACTCTGAGAAGAAAACATAAGGTTAAATCTTTGTGATCTTGGATTAGGCAAGTCCTTCTTTGATACAATATCAAAAGTGCAACTGACAAAAAAGAAAATAGGTAAATCGGACTTAATAAAAATTAAAAACTTTTGTGCTTTAAAGTACATCATAAAGAAAGTGAAAAGACAACCCACAAAATAGGGGAGAATATTGCAAATCATGTAAATAAGGGAATTGTAATCCAGAATATACAAAGAGCTCTTACAATTCAAAAACAACAACAAAAAACCCACCCAATTAAAAATGGGTAAAGTGTTTAAATAAACATTTCTCCCAAGATGATGTACAAATGGCTAAATAAGCACATGAAAAAATGTTCAGGACTATTAGACGCTGGGGAAAGAAGTCAAAACCACAGTGAGACACCTATTCACACCAAAATGGATTTGCTTTAACTAAAAACACAGACAATGACAGTGTTGGTGAAGATGTGGAGACACTGAGTCTTTCATACATTACTGGGGTGAATGCAAGGCCTTGCAACCACTTTGGAAAACAGTCTGGCAGTTCCTCAAACTGTTAAACACAGAGTTACCATATAAACCAACAATTCTACTCCTAGGTATCTGCTCAAATAACATAAATGGAACCTATGATCACACAAAGACTTGCATACAAAGGTCTAAAAAATTGAAACAGGCCGGGCGCGGTGGCTCATGCCTGTAATCCCAGCACTTTGGGAGCCTGAGGAGGGCAGATCACTTGAAGTCAGAAGCTTGAGACCAGCACGACCAACATGGAAAAACCCAATCTCTACGAAACATACAAAATTAGCCGGGTGCGGTGGCACAGGCCCGTAATCCCAGCTACTGGAGGCTAAGGCAGGAAAATCGCTTAAATCTGGGAGACAGAGGTTGTGGTGAGCCAAGATCGTGCCATTGCCTTCCAGCCTGGGCAACAAGAACAAAATTCCATCTAAAAAAAAAAAAAAAAATTAAAACAATCTGCATGCCCACTAACTGGTAAACAGATAAACAAAATGTGGTACATCGTACAATGGAATAGCATTCAGCCGTAAAAAGGAATGAAGTGTGGATACAAGCTGCAACATAAACCTTGAAAACTTCACGGTAAAGTGAAAGAAGTCATCCACAAAAGACCACATATTGTATGATCACATTTATTAAAGAAATCTCCTGAATAGGCCAATCTTGAGATATAAAAAAATTAGTATTTGCCGAGGGCAGGGGGGTGTTTGGAGAGGAAGCGAGTGACTACTATGGGTAAGGGGCTTCGTTTTAGAGCGAGAAAAACGTGCTAAAACTGATTGTGGTGATACATGTATAGTGTGATGAACGTACTAAAAACCATTGAATTGTATCTTTTAAATGGGTGGCTTTTATGTTCTATGAATAATATCTCAATAAAGCTGTTACATTTCCTAAAAAGAAAGACAACTTCCTCAAGCGACCAAGTGTTTAGAGTGGGGCAGTAAGTCTCATGCCCTTTCACCGTTTCAGGAACTGAGCTGCAGTATAGCTGTGTTTTCTGGCGTCAGGTCTCTCGCAGGCCGCAGTGAAGGTGTTGGCTGCTGACATTTCAAAGCTCAGCTGGGCTCTGTTTCAGGCTTACCCACGCAGTTGTCCATATTTGTTTCTTTGATGCCTGGACTAAGGGCTTCAATTTTTTACTGGTTGTTCACTGGGGGCTGTTGTTGGTTCGGCCACATCAGCTTCTCTATGGTTCACAACATGGCACCTTGCTGCATCAGTGAGCAAGTGAGAAGAACCTGGGAGAATGCAAGCAAGACAAGTCTTTTGTCACCTGATCTCAGAATTGACATCCCTTTACTTTTGCCATTTTCTGATCCTTAGAGGAACATAAGGACCAGCAAGTGTAGATCCAGCCCACACTCAAGAAGAGAGGATTGCATAAGGATATGAGTCACTGGGAGGTGGGGATCAGTAAGAGCCATTTCAGAGGCTGTCTACCACATGGACCATAGTTTTAAAATGTCAAGTTTGGGAGGTTGTCCTTATGGGGCCAATGGTACAATGCAATGAAATTAACTTGCCTGCGAAATCTGAAGCGTGGCTGCCATAAGAATTCAGAACACTGGGATGGAGTGTAAGTGAAAACCTGTGTAATTGATGATAGATGTGCTTCGGCAATACCAAAGCAATCAGAGCACTTTGTGAAGGGGTCATGATGTCACTCTTCAGTGCTACTGTTAGGCCAGCTTCTGTTATTGTTCCCAAGGGCACTGAGTCAAAGAATGGAAAACCGTTCTTCCATGAAACTAGCAATTTATTCAGTGAGCTATACAAACTTCTCAGAGTCCTTGTGTAACTGAAGGTAGCATAACCTTCACTTGGGGTGGTAAGTTTTCATGACAAATATTTTAAAATGGGATTTTCTTTGACTATAACTTTTCTATTTCTGTGGGCAAATATAAGTTCAATTCATACATGGAAAGAAAAGATTGGAAATGATGATGTTTATAGCAGTCCATATATTTCAGACTGAAGAAATTCCCTTGAGGAAATAGATTATTACTATTATTTTCTCCTGTCCATATAGATTTATCTAATTTCCCTTATGTCATTTCTCAATAACAAATCTGAAGCTCGCTTTTAAAGAAATTACAAAGTAATTCAAGGTAGCTCAAGGCTACCTTGCCTATGCTATAATGCAACAGTCCCTAACCCTTTTGGTACCAGGGACCAATTTCCTGGAAGACAGTTTTTCCACAGACAGGGTAGGGGGTGATGGGGCTGGTTTTAGGATGAAACTATTCCACCTCAGATCATGAGGCATTAGATTCTCATAAGGAGTGTGCAATCTGGCTCCCCTGCACGTGCAGTTCACAACAGGGTTCATGCTCCCGTGAGAATCTAACGCCACTGCTGATCTGACAGGAGGCAGAGCTCAGGCGTTACTGCGCGCTTGCCCACTGCTCACTTCCTGCTGTGCAGCCCGGTTCCTAACAGACCATGGACCCCACCAGTCTGGGTCCCAAGGTTTGGGGACCCCTGATAAGATACATTATTAGGCACTTGACTTCACTGCTATGGTCTGGATGTTTGTGTCTCCTCAAAATTCCTGTGTTGAAATCCGAACTCCCAAGATGACAGTATTAGGAGGCGGGACCTTTGGGAGATGATCAGGTCATGAGGGTGGCGTTCTCATGCATGAAATTAATGTCCTTATGAAAGAGACCCCAGAGAGCTCTCTCACTTTCTCTCCACCATGTGAAGCTACAATGAGAAGTCTGCAGTCTGCAAGCTGGGAGAATCCTCCACCAGAACTGAGCATGCTAGCTCGCAAGTTCCGGACTTCCAGCCTCCAGAACTGTGAGAAAATGAATTTCTGTTGTTAATAAGCCACCCAGTCTATGGCACTTGGTTACAGGAGCCTGAGTGGACCAAGAAAAGTCTCCTATAGAAGTGTTAAAGAAATAACGTTAAGAGAGATAATACCAGGAGTACTGGCCTCTCCTTTCTTCCTAAGCCAGACAAATTGGTAATGCTGCGATACTCAGAGAATGCCAGCCCAGGTGACCTGTGAAGCAGCCCGTCTGCTCACTGCACAGTTCCTGATTTTGTCCCATATCTTTGTGCCTCCCGGAAAAGAGGGGAAGGGGGGAGCCTTCTGAAAGCTCATGAGACTCGCTGTATTGCCAGTCTGTGGCTGAAGTGACACAGAAAGGGAGTGCAAAGATCAGGCCTCCTTGCCAGCTTTGCTTAGTTACACAGAAAACATGCTCTGTTTCAGCTTTTAGGAGTTTATTAGCACATGATCGGTTTCTGTTTCTCCTTTATGAAAGTTTCCCCCTTAGATCTGCTTTCAAAACAACACTCAGACTTTCACTTCTGGCTAAGATAGAATGAGTGACCTAGTATGATCTTTGACGCTGTTATATATCTTTATTCACAATCAATGCATGATTTCGATTATTCTGACTTTAATTTTACTAAAAGTTAACATTTTTAGTAAAAATGTGGCTATAGTTATAAATCCCTTTCAATTTTTTTTTCTTCTTTTGAGACAGAGTCTCACTCTGTTGCCCAGACTTGGAGTGCAGTGATGCGATCTCACCTCACTGCAACCTCTAACTCCCGGGTTCAGTTCTTCTGCCTCAGCCTCCGGAGTAGCTGAGACTACAGGCACACACCACCATACCCGGCTAATTTTTGTATTTTTAGTACAGATGGAATTTCACTATGTTGGCCAGGCTGGTCTTGAACTCCTGACCTCGTTATCTGTCCGCCTTGGGCTCCCAAAGTGCTGGGATGAGGTGTGAGCCACCAGCCCCGGCCCTTTTCAGTGCTTTTTAGGGAAAACATACTGTCATATATACCTCACCTCAGGGCAGTACATTCTGCTTGTAAGGCAAAGACATTCTGCTTTTAAGTCCAGGCTTAGGCCTGGACTAGGGGAAAGTATGGGCTCCAGATGGGACTGTCGGATAAAGTACAGGACGTCCAGTAAATGTGAGTTTTGGATAAACAACTAATAACTTTTTAGTATAAATGCAAATACTGCAGTGGGATTTATTATTTGCTAAATATGCAACCCTAGGTCAAAAGAGCTTTTCTGACCCACTTCTCAGCCTTAGTTTTCTATTTGAAATCGGAATAAGAAGGCCTGCTTCATGGAGCTGTTAAACCCAAATGAAAATTAATTTGAAAGCACTAAATCAAACTTTTTTTTCCTTATTTTTAATTTTTTTTTTTAACCCACGGATACCCACCCTAAATACCTATGGTGAGAGACCCATGATCCAATGGGCAGGAATACCTGTGACCAGCAGGAAGCTACAGAATAAATCAAACTTTTCAAAAGAAGACGGTTAAAATAAGAGAGTTCTGGCCTCGCTAGCTGCTTCCGGGTGGGGGTCTTCGGCCTCCCCTAGGCGAGGCCTGGGTCTGGAGGCTGGGGGTCCTCGCGTGCCTGCCACGCTCGCCGCCTCCCACCTGCCCTGGCTGGCTGAGGCCCGAGCATTGCGTCGCTCCCAAGCCCAAGTTACGGACTCAGGGGCTCCGGCTGCCCGCGCGGAACAAGGCCCGCCACAACGCCCGCCCCTCCGCCGGCTGTTTTGGACTCTCCCGGCTTCCGGCTTCCGGCTTCCGGCTTCCGCTTTCCGCAGCGGTCACGTGCCTCCTACCACGTGACCGACGCTCTGTCATCCTCTTGCGGCCGCGCTGGTTTCCTTCTACCTGTGCTGCCCTCAACGACTCCTTGGTGCGGGACCCGCTTCACTTTTCGCTCCCGGAGTCTCTCGCTGCTGCTTAGACCTCCGGAACTGACAGGAGACGCCGCCTTGGCTCTGACTCGGCGCCCCAGCCCGGCTGTGGCCCCGGAGCCCCGGACCGCCGCACGCTCCCTGCCGGCTTTGGGTGCATTGTGGGGTCCCCAGGGTTCGCGAGGTAAGGCCACCCTCGGGGTTTTTTGGTCTCAGGCTCCGGACCCGGTCAGGCGCCCCTGCAGTTTCTCCAGCTTGCCTGCTGCGTGCTGCTGTCTCGCCGCTTGGGCCCCTCCGTCCTCCTTCGGCCCCCGGTTGCCAGGTTGCTCTTCCAGGCCTCAACCACGTTTACGAAATTCTGGAGCGTTTCTCGCAGGGAGAAGAAACTTGAGGGAGGGCAGGAGAGTGGAGGGAGAGGGGTAAACGTCCTAGGACTGGGCCCTGGCCCTGGCTTGCTGGGGGTGCGAGTCGTTCAGGGACGTGGGTAACTGTCCAGTGACACCTTGAACTACCCCGGGCGGGCGGCTGGGGCTGAGCCTCCTTGGCTGCGGAGTTCCAGCCTGGCCCGGTTGAAGCCCGTTTTTTCCTGGTCTCGGTCGTTCCGCGCGGCCCCGTTTGTTTAGACAGCAAATCTTCAGATACAGAGTTTAAGTTCCAAATTGACGAAGGTCACTGGGAACCCAGAATAGAATTTTTGATAGGATTTTTAGCTTCTTTGTGACCAGGGCCATCAGTTTATATTTTGCAGATGGCAACCTGTATTTTGTGTTGTGATAAAATCAGTCGTTTGTATCTGGACGTTTAGGAGTGAGAATTACGTAGAATTGCGTTATTGTAGGTTCATGTTGTCCGACCAGACCGCCATTGTTGGCTTACCTAAAAACTGTAATAGGTATTTGTTCTAAAAATTTCTCTCCGAATTGATTTTGCAAATATTATGAATTTTGTTTGCAAAGGAAAGCACTGTCTTCTAAGAAATTATGTTACCACTTTTTGTATTTTGAGTAATTTTAGAAAGGATTTAACAATTTTTAATGTGCCACTGCAAAATGATGCTTAGTAAATGTTTATAAGGTAGCTAGCCTTATCTGTACTATACATATTCTTATTGTTTATGAGAAAAGTTAACCACAATTCTATAAATTTACAGTATTTTCCCATATTTATACCTATTCTATTTAATCATGATTTCTGATTTCAGTATATAAGTGATTGCTTTAAAAATCTTATTGCAGTGTTAGTGCCAGTAATGACAAAATCTTGTCTAGAAAAGCAAAAGCCTGAAGAATTCTTTTATGGAGCAGTGGACAGAATTAGAAATATAATGATACTTTCAGACTTAGGACATTTAATATTTGAGTTGAATGCCTGGGGAGATGATGATATTAATAGTGTAAAAGAAACACCTAGTATTGTTTTCTTTTCTTTTCTTTTTTTTTTAACCTTGCATCTAAATTGAAGATCTGTTAAAAGACATTCAAGGTTACAGTTTAGATGACCAAAATGGATATCCGCGGTGCGGTGGATGCTGCTGTCCCAACCAACATTATTGCTGCCAAGGCTGCAGAAGTTCGTGCAAACAAAGTGAACTGGCAATCTTATCTTCAGTAAGTTCCGCTTTGCTGTGAATAATGGACAGTCATATGCTTTTGCCTCAGTCTTTTTCATGGTCATGCTTCTATGAGAGAAATACTGGGAAAATATTAGTAAATGTGGAAGAAACACTTCCTCCTCAGGATAATTAGCTGTCTTGGGGAGTTAAGTGTGGTGTGGTGGAAACAGCTTGGCACTCTAGTGAGAAAACAGAGGTGCTGATAGTACATTTGACCTTCCCTGGCTGGCTGGAAGTACTTTTTGAATGAGCAGGAAACACAGGAGGAATGTTTTGGGCTCCGGAGAGGGGAGGGGATGAGGGGAGAAACCTGCTAGACTAGTCTAATGTGCCCTGGCAGTCAGCATGGGGGCAGAAGGCCTTTCTACAGTAGTGCTTACAACAAATAAAACGCATAGATGTTTGAGTTGAGGGACTTGGGTTTGAGTTTTGATTCTTGCTATTAGTTTGGTGATCTTAAGCAAATCATTTAAATTCTCTGAGGTTCAAAAAGTAAAATGTGAAATGGGGAGACATACCCACAGGCTTATTGCTGAAATAATGTATTTTAAAGTATTCCCATAGTAGAATACAAGCGTTAGTATGTTGAATACAGTACGTTTTAGTTCTCCCTTCTTTCTTGTGTGTATTCCTATTTAATGTGCTGGTGTTTTGGTATTCTGTACTTGTCTGTAAAGTGAGCATTCGTGTATTCTTGACCATATCTTATTGACTTCCTATTTATTTTGGTATATTTATAACCGAGTAATTAAAGAATTCGGTTGATTTGCATATGCATTTTGAAAAACAAATTGAGGAATCTGTAGTTTTATATTAGTGTTAATTTTATATTGGTATTAATAGTTTGTGTTGTTGTAGGAGGAATATATAGTATACAAAAACAATCCTTTCATTTCTGTTAATTTAATCACTCATCAAACATTCATTGATTGCCTACCAAGTTTGAGGCATTTTTCCAGGCTTTGAGGCCACAAAAATTCCATATAGAGTACGATCCCTAAAGCAACTTATACTCTAGTAGGGAAGTCACATGTATTAATGATTGTTTTAATTCAGTATGCTAACTGTGGCAATAGAAGGATGTACACCGTCTGGCAGGTGCACATAAAAAAGACAACTAATTCTACCCTCTGGAAGTTTTCCTGAAGGGGATGGTCCCTGAACTGAGTTTTCGAGAATGAGGGGTATTTAGCCATGTGGCAAGTAGGAGCAGCTTTGGGAATAGAACAGATAGTATGAGCAAAGTCAGGGAGGCAAAATCAGCACTCTGGGTGGGAGCTGTACATGTTTTGGAGGCAGGCAGTGCAGAGAGCTGAGGCTGGAGAGGCGGCCAGAGGCTGATGGTGAAGATGCCATGTGTGGGTGTGTGGTTGGAAGGAGTTTGGATTTGATCCTATCAGTCAGTGCTTTTCAAGCTGATTTTTAAGCCATGAAACCAATGGTTGATGTGGAGTCAGCATGTAAAACTGATGAAAATGATAGAATGGAGGTGGGAGTGTGTGTCTTAGAGTCCTCTTCTTGAGACCATTCACCATTTTCCAAGGAGCCGTAGGTGTTGGAAACTAGTGAATCTTGTAGCTGGGAGTTAGAAGACTAAATCTGTCTCTTGACTGAATTGTTCTAACAGCAGCATAAAGGGTGAGTTTGTGGATGATAGGCCTATAGGTAGAGAGAGGCTATAGCAGTTATTAAGGTATTGGAATAAACAGAACCGATACATTTGAGAAAGTTCTTAATGATTGATTTGGTGTGTGAGGGTGAAAGAGAAGTCTTGGATGACTTCTGGATTCCTTCTTTAGGGAATTGGGTTATTGTGGGGCCACTGACTGAAGGACGGGAGGAGAGGAGGCTTGCTGATATTTTTTCTGTTCATCAGCGTCTGTGTAATTGTTTAAATCCCCTGTGAAATTGGGATTCTGAGCTCTGTTTCCTAATTTCTTTGGTCCAGAGTGCATTTAGACTAGAGGACAGGGAGTTTCATGTTTATAAAGCCTGGATCTGTTTATAGCCTACATGGAATCATATTGTTGATCGTAAAGCACTGGCGGTCTGGCCAGAGCGCCCCCTAACTTTGGTGTTTGGAGTGTTTTTAGTTACATGGAATTTTTAAAATTGCTTTATTTCTGTTTTTCGTTACCCATGGCCTATGATATATGTTATATTTTCCCGTTTTCCTATATATGTCTGTCCTTTGTTCTGCTGTCCATCTCACAAATTTCTTTTATAAAACCCTTCCACTCTGTAGGTGTGTGGGCAAGTGTTCACCAAATGTTAACTGTGTGCCTGTTGAGCCTGTTCATGTGTGGGCACTAGAGAGTGTGAAATGTGTCTCTCATAAAAGAGCTTACAGATTGTTGGAGGCTGGATACAATGTGAAGAAATCAGTGAATCTTCTATCACATTCTGTACTGAGATAATAAGACCTGTAAAAGAGCTCCCTAGTGTCGAGAGCTCAGTATGCTTTTTTCCCTCACAGATTAACATGTTATTATGAAAATGTGGTATTTGAAATATGCATTTATATTTGATTAAGCTTTTTCTTAATAACTGGCCAGTCCATAAATGAATGGGTAGGGTCTGTATTTAGAGATTAGGATGGGGTTTGCTGTGGGATTTGGAGTACCTGAGGAGTGGAGAAGTTGGGAAGGTTGAGCTGCATGTCTTCTGCCTCCTGAGACAGTCTCGCCGTTGTCAAAGTCAGCGTCCTCACCACTGGCGAAGGTAACAGTGGTGACGATGCTGACTTCGAAAACGGCGAGACTGTCTCAGGAGGCGGAAGACAGTGGAGATGACTGAGTGAGAGGGAACGTGAAAGTCTTGACTGAATCTCTCACAGGAAGTAGTTTGGAATTTCAATGATCGAGTGCTGGGGAGGAGACTTGAAGGGTGAAGAGCCAGTGATGAAGCGACCCCGGAAGATAAAGAGGAAAATAACAGAGTGTGGGGTCAGGATGGGCAGTTGTTCTCCAGAGAAGAGGAAAATCAGCTTTTTCCTCCCTTTTTTTGGTCTGGATGGAAAGAATATGCTAGAGAAAAATGGCTGTAGAAATTCATGTAAAGTGGCTTTGGACTTGATAAATTAGAAAGTCATGTGAATTGTTTGGCTTGAAAAGGGGAATAAGGGTGGGACTCTGGGTAGTGCTGAGAGGTGATGTTTACTGAATGCTCCCATTTGCCAGGTGCTGCTCACCACCTTATGTGAATTTAATTTCATCCTCAATGCAGCCCCTTAGAGGCAATGTGATAATTGTTCGCATTTTGCAGATAAATTAGATGAGGTTGAATTCAGGTCTGTCTGATGCCAGGTCCCTTGCATCAGCCCTTGTGCTTTGCTGCCAAGGAGAGAAGACAAAGACTGAAAATTCCTCTATCACTTGCTTACATATTCATCTCTTACTGAACAAAACATCTTATTCTTACTTTCTAGGGGACAGATGATTTCTGCTGAAGATTGTGAGTTTATTCAGAGGTTTGAAATGAAACGAAGTCCTGAAGAGAAGCAAGAGATGCTTCAAACTGAAGGCAGCCAGGTGTGTAATGAACACTGAAGGCAGCCAGGTGACCGATGAGCATTGTGTAGTGAACACCGAAGGCAGCCAGGTGACCGATGAGCATTGTGTAGTGAACACCGAAGGCAGTTAGGTGACCGATGAACATTGTGTAGTGAACACCGAAGGCAGCCAGGTGACCGATGAACATTGTATAGTGAACACCGAAGGCAGCCAGGTGACCGATGAGCATTGTGTAGTGAACACCGAAGGCAGCCAGGTGACCGATGAACATTGTATAGTGAACACCGAAGGCAGCCAGGTGACCGATGAGCATTGTGTAGTGAACACCGAAGGCAGCCAGGTGACCGATGAACATTGTATAGTGAACACCGAAGGCAGCCAGGTGACTGATGAACATTGTATAGTGAACACCGAAGGCAGCCAGGTGACCGATGAGCATTGTGTAGTGAACACCGAAGGCAGCCAGGTGACCGATGAACATTGTATAGTGAACACTGAAGGCAGCCAGGTGACCGATGAGCATTGTATAGTGAACACTGAAGGCAGCCAGGTGACCGATGAACATTGTGTAATGCACACTCGCCTGTGTCGTCTAAAAGTTTAGAAAAATCTTAGTGATGAGTGACTTTCAGTTTTCTTGTTAATTTGGAAAAAATGTTATATTGAATATGTTTACCTTCATCCTTTTCTGCATTTCTAAATATCTTCTTGGAATGTGCTCCTAGAAGATAAATTTCTGGAAAATAAATTACTGTTTCAGAGTATATTATGTTTTAAAAGTTGCTTAACTTTTTTTAAGATAATTTTTCCGCTTGATATTCTTACTAGTAATGTTTGAAATACCTAATATAATTGAAAATCTTTGAATTTGCTAAGTCGAAAGGGACATCTTATCACATTGATGACATGGGATTACACTATTTTCCTGTTGATTCATTAAGTATTTATATCTTCTTTGAAAAAATTTTTTGGGGGCATTCTATTTTTTTTAATCTATAGGGATTAAATTCATCCATTAAATGGAAAATTACACAATGGAACTTTCCATAAATGGAAACTAATAATTAATTATTTTAAATACCACAGAAATATCTTTACAGGCATAGCAGGGGAGAGAAGAATATACAGTTAAATGAAGAAAACAAAGCTATATACATATAACCCCTTTTGTAAAAAGTTCACATTTGCAGAAATAAGTGTGTAAGTTATATGCACAGAAAAATTGTGTAATTGTGTAATTTTCTATTTAATGGATGAATTTAATCCCTGTATATAGGGTTTTATTACCTTTTGATATACAGTCTTTTTACATACAAAATCTATTACTGTTTGCCTCATTTATAGCAGACTTTACTATTTATCTTTGAAGTGTTGTGGGTTTTTTTCGTATACAGTGGTTTAAAATGTTGAGTTATATATATTGATGTTTTACCTTCTTTTGTGATACATTTATCGTAGAAAAATAAAATACTATTAAGCAAAAGAGAAATGTTAATCTGCCTAATATTTCTCTGTTCAAGATGACTTGTTGACCCTTAGTGTATACCTCTCTAAATATTTTTCTGTGCATATAACTTACACACTTATTTCTGCAAATGTGAACTTTTTACAAAAGGGGTTATATGTATATAGCTTTGTTTTCTTCGTTTAACTGTATATTCTTCTCTCCCCTGCTATGCCTGTAAAGATATTTCTGTGGTATTTAAAATAATTAATTATTAGTTTCCATTTATGGAAAGTTCCATTGTGTAATTTTCCATTTAATGGATGAACTGTAATGATCTAAACTAATTCTATACTGTTGCAAATTTTGGCTGCTTCCATTTTTTTCTGTTTTGAGATGAACATTTAGTAATCTTCTCATAATAAATTTTAGAAATGCTATTATCTGGCCTGTAATCCTATCGCTTTGGGAGGCTGAGGAGGGCAGATCACTTGAGGTCAGAGTTCGAGACCAGCCTGGCCAACATGGTAAAATCCTATCTCTGCTAAAAATATAAAAAACAAAAAAATGAAGTGTAATTATTGATTAAACTATTTGAGCATGTGAGAGTTTTTGATATAATGAGAATGCCCTCTTGTTAGATTGTACCAGCTTACAGATCCTGCCAGCAGAATATGAGAGGGCCCGTGCTCCCCTGCTCCAGCACCCACTCTGGCTGTAGCCATTCATCTTTTGGTCATTTTGATAGGCGAAAGATAGTATCTTTTTTTTTTTAAAGATGGGGTTTCACCATGTTGGTTAGGTTGGTCTTGAAGTCCCAACCTCAGTGCCTTGGCCTGCAAAGTGCTTGGATTACAGGGGTGAGCCACCAGGCCCGGCCGACAAGATAGTATCTTAATGTAATAGTGTTACCCATTGTCAGATGGTTTTTGGCACCTTTTGTATCCATATCAGTTGCTTCTGTCAACACTGTCATGTGTTGACTACATAAACATGTTGGTAGGTATCGGACTGTGTATGCAGCGGTGGTCCTATAAGATTATACTACCTTATTTTTACTGTACTTAGCATTGTGTTACAGTTGCCTGCAGTATTCGGTACAGTTACAGACTGTGCAGGTGTGTAGCCTAGGAGCCATAGGCTCTACCATAAAGCCTCGGTATGTAGTAGGCACTGCTATCTGGGTTTAAGTACACTCTAGGATGCTCACACAACAAGGAAATTGCCTAATGGTGAATTTCTCAGAACTCTCCTCATTGTTAAGTGACACGTGGCTGTATGTTTTTTATTTACTTGTCTGTGGAAGTGTTTTTAATCTTATTGATGAGTCAGATTCCTTTATGTTTTAAGTATACCAGCTTTGTGCATGCCGTATTTTCCCAGATTGTGTGTTGAATTTTTAACTTGGTTTATGGGGCTCTTTGGCATATTGAAGTTGAAGTTGTGTGATGAAATCTAGTTCTTTCCTTTCTTTGTGATGTCTGCTGTTGGCGTCATCCTTTGAAAAAGCTTCCCCAGCTGCGTGTACAATGGAGCATGCAGCTCATTCACTATTCGTTCAGTACATGCACACTGAGTCCCTGCCATGTGCCTGGTGACACTGGGGATGTGCGTTAATAAGACTTTTCCCTTAAGTTAGGAGTTAAAACAGCCCTTTCTTTTTTTTTTTTTTTTCCATTTTTTAAAAACCTGTTTCTTATTAAGTGTGCAAAAACAGTTCTTTCTTAATTGCAGTGTCTGGTGTGATGGGCCTTTTATGGGGCTGATGCCAGGAAACCTTTTATCTAAACAAAATGGCAGTATATCTGCAAAGAGTTCTGACAGAAATACCATGGGTAGCTTGTATCTTTTTTTTTTCTTAAAGAGGTTAAAGTGTTACCACTTTAATGTTTTGACTAAAAATCCCCATTATTTGTTACTGTTAACTTTTCGTATTCCTTATGGTGAGTGGACTCTCTATACATGGAAGACGTGATTCATAGATAAGCATAAGTTCTAGGATGAATACGATTTTGATAAGGTCTCCATTTTTTATAGCATGGCTTTTATCACATGTTCTTTGTTGCATTTGGGATTTATTGAATGAATGGATACTGAGTGAAATACACTTCACTTTAGACATCCTTAGGGTGGGGAAGTTTTTCAAAGTATGACTCCAAACCTGTTGCTGAGTGATGTTGCACACTTAAAACTATGTTTTTTGAGGGTGATTTAAGGGATTTTTATAGAGTGTTTTGATTTGCACCCTATTTGATTTATATGCTGAGTTTAAACCTGGCCCTAGAATCATTATAAGCTGATGCAAGTCATAGTAAGATCCTCCCATACGTCATCATAATGTTTGTAAAAGGTATACGTTTTCTGTAAGTAAAATTTATTGGTTAATAGTATTTGTATTCTAATTTATGGAAAGAGAAACAATGTTTCACTGATGTTTCATTAAAATATTGTGTTTGCAAATAAAAACAATAACGTTAATTTCATTTTTTGTAGTGTGCTAAAACATTTATAAATCTGATGACTCATATCTCCAAAGAACAGACTGTTCAGTATATACTCACGATGGTGGATGATATGCTGCAGGTAGGTGTATCCTTTACTTAACACATTTGGTGACTTCATCTTTTTGTGTATTTCACAGTAGCAACATTTTGGGTGAGATTTCACTTAAGAGTACACTGGTACTCTTCTAGAGTGTGATAATATATTTTTCTCATTTATGTGGGTTGTAATTTGCTAATAGAGCTAAAGACAGAGATACCCACACGCAGGCTCTTTTTGTTTTTCAGAATACCAAGTAATCAGTATGTATATTTTTCCGAGATACCTGAGAGTTGAATGCCAGCAAAGCTTGGTGAATCACCTGAGGCTTTCTGGATACCCTGTGTACTTACAGCTGCTATGGCTCCTTTGTATTCAGTCAGTCAACACGTTTCCGTGCTCACGTGTTCTAGGCCAGTGCCAGACCCTGGAGGTTCGGTGTTTTCATTCCTTTTGGGAACAGTTTTGCTTATCATCAGAAACTTTTCCAGTTTTGTACAGTTCCTATTTTATGCTTTACCATCCCTGAACCCAATTATAGAGGACTCCTTCATTTATATTTATATATTTTACACTAGAATATAATCTAGGCTTAGATTGTTGGTATGTAGAGCAGTTCTTATGAGATAGGTCTTCCAGCTGCTGAGTGTCTCAAGAGACTTGAAGGAAACAGTCAGTCTGGGTATTTAGGGAGGGTGATTCTGTTAACTTACAAGGAAGAAAAAATTTACTGATGGCCTACTTTTCACCAAGCACTGTACTATGATTGGGAATACAAAGGTTGGGCAGAATGGTGCTGTCTTCCTAGGGGTCATCATGTCCTTTACAGGAATCTAGTGATTTTATAACATGAGGAAGGATCAATATCAGGCCTGTCTGAGAGTGACTTTGGTCTCTCTGAGCACTTTTTCATTTAAAACAGTAAGGTTTAGAAAAAAGTGAATGTTCTGATCTGCCCTGGTTGTGTTGGTTACTGTATGGGACTGCGCCTAGAATGAGGGAGTTGTGAGTCGGCATGCGGACCGTGGTTGCTCAAATCCCCAGTGACTGTTCACATGTTTCTCTCTGTAAATTAACACCATGACATGCTGGTAGCTTCTATCACATGTCAGCTGAGCACCACAGGGTTCTTCTTGTCTCTCTTTTCCATATGTGTTCCTCTTCTGTAACAGTGAGATTGTGAGTTGCTCCTATCCTCAGTGTATTTACTTGTTTGTTCTACACTAATACACAGAAAATAGTTTCAGAGTTGTGGGCTCATGCAACTCAATCAGTGAGGAAAGCAGTGTGGTGACTCTTGAAAGAGCTAAAAACAGAATGACTGTTTGACCCACCAATCCCATTGCTGGGTAGATACCCAAAGGAATATAAATCGTGTAGCCATCAAGACACATGCACGGTATGTTCATTGCAGCACTGTTCACGTTAGCAAAGACATGGAATCAGTCTCAATGTTCATCAGTGGCAGTCTGGATAAAGATAACATACATACACTTCATGGAATACTTTGCAGCCATAAACAGAACAAGATCATTTCCTTTGCAGGAACATGGATGGAGCTGGCGGTCATTGTCCTTGGTAAACTAACACAGGAACTGAAAAGCAAATTCCCCATGATCTCAATTATAAGTGGGAGCTAAACGATGAGAACACACGGACACAAAGCGGGGAGCAACGGTCACTGGGTCTACTGGGTGGGAGTGGGAGGAGGGAAAGGATTAGAAAAAAATTAACTATTGGGTACTAGGCTTAGTACCTGGATTATGAAATAATCTGTACAACATACCCTCTGACCTGAGTTTACCTGTGTAACGCACCGGCACATGTACCCCTGAACCTAAAATAAGAGTTGAAAGAAACATGTACACATAAAAAACAACCCTTTTACCTAGAGTTCAGTATTTGTTTTTAGTTTTTTGTTTTAAACTGAGGGTATGTAGACAGAGTGTTCAAGTTTCAGAGTGGTTATTTTCCATCAAATACTGTAAGAGTCATTTGTTTCTGTTGTATTTTAGTTTTTCCCTCATCCTTGTGTATTATTATTATTATTATTTTTTTTTGAGATAGGGTCTTGCTCTGTCGCCCAGGCTGGAATGCAGTGGTGCGATCTCAGCTCACTGCCACCTCCGCCTCCTGGGTTCAAGCAATTCTACTGCCTCAGCCTCCTGAGTAGCTGGGTTACATGCACCTGCCACCATGCCTGTCTCATTTTTGTATTTTTTTTTAGTTGAGATGGGGTTTCACCATGTTTGCCAAGGTGGTCTTGAACTCCTGACCTAAAGTGATCTGCCCTCCTCGGCCTCCCAAAGCGCTGGTATTACAGATATGAGCCACTGTGCTCAGCCCAATATAATTTTTTTTTCTGTGAACATAGATAGGCGGACACATGTATATTTTCTTATTTACCCCTCTTATTTCTACAAAACACTAGATAGAGTCTCTTATTTTTTGCTTGTTTCACTTAACCAAATATGTCAGCAATCATTACTTGTCAGTTCACAGAGATCTCACCTCCCTTTTCTGATTTGACAGCTACATGGTATCCCATTAGTGGATGTAGCATAGTTTACTCAGCCTCTGATATATTAATGGATGTTGTGGTTGGTAGAAATCATGAAGCAGAGAATAACCTTGTGCAAATGTATTTTTGTGCTGTTGGATATGTATTTCATGATAAATTCTTAGAAATGGATTGCTGGGTAAGAGGGAACTCCATATGTAGTTTGTTAAGATATTGCCAGATGTTTTATTTTGCATTCTCATCAGCAGTGTGTGAGTGCCTGGTTCCCTGTAACCTTCTCAACAGAGGATATTGTCAAGCTGTTACATTTTTGCCTATCAGAACGGTATCCAAGGTTGAACATCTTCAGATGATCTTAAAGGTTGCTTTTACATTTTTTCTCTGAACTGTTTGTTCATTTTATTTTTAAGAGTTCTTTATATATTGGGCATTGTTGAGAAATGCTGAGTGTATGATAAATTATATTGTTTGCTGAGAACAATGGCAAGGAAAACCTGGCTGGCCCCCTGCCAAGTGGAAGCTGCTTGGGGCATTCTAACATAGTAAAATAGTGTATTTATATCATACGTCAGTTAAAACAAGTCTTTAAGCACGGGGTATGTGTCCCTGCCCCCGTGGCTCCCTCACAGAGAATACTGTTTAGTTTGTTTGTAATTAGTGGTAAGCAGGCACCAGCTGCCTACCTAGTTTATCTTGGGTCTATGAGAAAACACAGAACACCTGTTTGTTAATAATAATCACCTGTTAAGAGAGAATAACTACATGGGTCAGTGTCTGCTCAAGGCCCTCAGCCTGGAATGCTGTCAGCACTCTGAGGCTCTCAGCTCAGAAGGCTGTTGGTCCCCCGATAGTCCCACTTTGCTGCTCTATCTGGGTGTCTGCTTCTTAATGCCTCAGTGCCGCTTGGGTCGGGGGCGGGGGGGAGGGTCTTACAGCTGAGCTGGTCTCGGTAGGGCATATATCTCTGATATAAAGTGCAAATATTCTTTCCCTGTTTGTTATTTACCTTTTGTCTTAGCTTATAACATTTTTCACAGGGTAAAACAATTTTATTTTTGTTTTTTATGTGGTCTAATTTATCAGAATTTTTTTAAAATCTAGATTTTGAGGAATAGAAAACTTTTCCTTATACCTGAGTTTATAGTGGAATTCACCAAGATTTTTTTGTAATACTTGTATAGTTTCATGTTTAGTTAGACATTTGGCCTGCTTAGAGTTGGTTCTTGTCTATGGTGTAAGGCATGTGCCTAATTTTATTTCCAAATGGCCATTCGGTTGTCCTAGCACTATTTATTAAAATGTCTGTCTTCGCCGCAGTGTTGCAGATGCTGCCTTTAGCATTAAACCTCCCTCTATAGCTGGGTTTCTTTCTGTACCTTTTATGCTTTGCTTCTGGAATGCCTGTGTATTCATGTTCCAGCACCACCCAGTTTTAACTAGAGGATCTTACGGTTACTTCCCTTTGCAGTTTTTTGCCCCAGTATTACTTAGGTATTCTTGATTGTTGGGTTTTTTCTTGTATGAAATGAAGTGTCAGCTTATATGATCTATGAAAAAGTTTGTTGGTATTATTACCAAGTTGTGTTAAATCTGTAACTTACTATTAAAAAAATCAAAGCAAGGCCTGGCACTGGCTCCAGCTTGTACTTCTAGCACCTTTGGAGGTGGGAGGATTGCTTGAAGGCAGGAGTTTGAAACCGGCCTGGGCAACATAGTGAGAGACTGTCTCTTTTTAAAAAACTAGTAGTAAATTTATAAGTTAACTTAGGGAGAAATGATGTTGTTTGTCAGGAATGGTGGATGCCTCTCCCCTTGTACTGAATTTTACTAAGGACAAGGTATGCCTTTCTTTTTGTTTGGTATATGTCTGTGTCTTCAGGAATGTTGTGATTTTCACATAATGGTTTTGTAGCATTTCTTGTTAAGTTTATGCCTTAGTATTTTATCTTCCTATTACTGTTAAAAATAGCATTTCTTTTCCATTTTATCTCTGAACTTTTGGTAATGTATGTGAAAGTCATTGATCTCTGTATATTTTCTGTTTTGGTATCTTAGTGAATTCTTTTGTTTGAATTACTTTTGTGATTGAATTTTCCTCCAATTTATAACGGTATATTCTGCAAAAACAGATTATTTTACTTGTTTTTCAGTTCTTACGGGTTATAAAACAGGTGATTTTGCTTCTTTTTAAATTCTTGTGGGTTATAAGAACTTGCCAGTTCTTATTTTTTGAGTGCTGTTATTAAGAATAGGTGTTGAATTTTGTTGAAGGCTGTTATTCTCTGGGCAATGTAGATAATTGAGTGACTTTTTTTTTCCCTGTCCTTAGGTATATAAATATAGTGAATTATAGTAATGGATTTTCTAATACTGAACCAACCTTGCATTTGAGGTTGAATCCCACTTGGTCATATGTCTTTATTTTCTTGAGATGATATCGAATTCTCTTTTCTGTTATTTAGGATTTTTGCCTCAGTGTTCATATGTGTTAGTGGTTTATAATTTCATTTATATTTTTTGC